TCGGTTTATTGTCAGAAGAAAGTTTAATTCCAATCAGATAACCAATTAGATTTCAGTACTTGGTAGTTATGCTGTATTCATTGCAAACCGTGAGGCAAACCATGAAGGGAAAATCCTTTCTAAATGGGATCCCAGATACTTGGAGTCATTGCTGTACCATTTGAAACAATCGATGCCCTTGTTCTAGTCCAACAAACTGGTGATTGCGTTTCAGCCACTTTCACTTTACACGGATTCTGGGAAAATTAATTCCTAAATAGTATCTAGGAAGATTAGAGAATTATAAGTAGCTGATTATATTCAAATACTGACATTATTTTATTATTGTTTTTATTCACCCCTGCATAACTGTGCTATCCTCACTCATCCTGTGACCTGGATTATGAACATCAACTGCAGCCAACACATCAGGAGGAGTGAGGTCAAAGCAGAGAGATCATTCCTAAAGAAGTCCAGTTAAATACTGGCAAATTCAGTCTTGGTAATATTTGAGTGCAACTGAGTCATGGGCTTAAACATTGGTCTATGTTTGAAAAGAGAAGAGTTTCTTTCAGTGTCCTGGCCAACAATCCTGGATAAATTAATGATTCATGTCATGGCTGTTTGTGGAATACTGCTGTGCCCCATATTTATCTACAAGTATCCAGTTCCTACACCTTGTAGCAGTTACGTGGGAAGTGCTTTGAGGCAGTTTGACATTATTCGTCTTGTATCCAATGCAAGGATTATTATTATATTCAGTCTTGTTTTCCAGTGCAAGTTCCCAGCCACTACACAGAGAGACTGAGAGGTTGGTAGATGAGGGAGTGTTGTGTAATGTTTCTTTTTTTTTGTCACACTTCTGGACTTTTGACAACCAATTAAGCTAGAGTACTTATAAATGACTATTAATCCTTTCATGGCTTTCTGTGTGCCAGCACTAATAAAATAAATAGCATGCATTAGATATTTTGTTTCAAGGAGGAAATGTAATTATCTGTCATCTGTCTTATTCTAACTAAGTGTTGAGGACAAAGAAACAATTGCTCACTGCAAGGATAAAACTTATTGTTGTTACTATCTTGTTACAGTTCCTGCTCACAATTACCATGGACACAGTTTAAGCCGGAGTATTACTCCAGAAGGATGGAGTACATACAGCTCAAAGAGCATATACAGTCCATACAGCAAGAGATGGCACAGTACCAAGCCAAGTACAAGTGACAGCGACTCCTCTGAGGATGAGACTCCACATAGACACCAGCAGTGACAAGGAGGGAGCTCCATTCAACCCATGAACTAATGGAAATAAACCTTCCTGTGATCTAATGAGCTTTCAACAATGCCAGAAATGTCAACCTGCAGATTTTATTATGATTTTTAAACGAGTAAAACATTGAGTATTTGTTTAGTCTTTGTAATCAACGGTTTCAGTTTGCGGCACTTAACAATGGTGCTTCTTTTTGTCAAGTGTTCTAATGGGAATTGTTTAATTATGAGTTAGAAACAGGAGTGGGGAATCAGCATTTGGGCGTTTGAGAATTTTGTATTGAATACAGCATTTGAGAATCTCGCCCAAACAAAAATGTAGTCACTCAATCCACGACTGTTTGGAATGTTGTGGCTCTAATTACACCACTGACTTTCAGGACCCAAATTCACACTGCGATATCCTGCAGAACAACTTTCTGATCTTGTGCCGTGTTACGGCAAAGGTGGCAGTGGTGACAATGACTAGGCACTTTCGAACACAGAGGGAAGGAACTGGAATAGTTGTTGCGGGGACAAAAGGGCGAAGCTACATAGGGTTAATTGTATAATAATATTAATCCTTGCATTTGATATAGCGCCTTATCACATCCCACAAACATTCAAGGATTGAGTGACCACATTTTTTGTGTGGGGGGAAGGATTATTACCCCAGGAAACTGATGCACCGAACCACTATCAATCGGGTTTCTACTACTGCTAGATAAACAGAAGCATGTGGACTAAAAAAAAACTTGTTTTGATCCTACCTGGGATAGTGGAGCATTACAAAAAATAATTTGAATAACAAATATCATTGTGAAAGCTAACAAAGTAGTCTAGTGTGTATTGGTAGAGTGGTATTTTTATTAAGATTTGTTTTATAAAGATAAATTGTCCTAATACGTACAGATTAGGATAGCAGATGTACAGGCATGACATGTCATATTATGTACATTTTAAATGCCAAATGGCCATTAAAAGCTCAGAAATGTTCACCATGATAGGAATCTTTGAATTATCAGGGGCTATATGTATTTTAAAACAAAGTGGATGCTAAAACATTTCCAAAACATGTTAAAGTTGAAATCTTTGCTGAATTTATTTAACTAATGGTTTATGTTTGAAAGAAAACTATTATAACAGAGGACAACTAAAGACAGCTAAGCATTTTGCCTGCTGCTTTTTAACTGGACTAGCTACTGGGCTACTGAAGTACTCCGGGACACTACCCTGCGTGAAGAGCGCTACAAAAATGCAATTTGTTGTTGTAGCCACAGTGTCCAGATGTCAAGCTTATGCCCAGCACCTTTCAATAGCATGCCTGTGATTAGAAAGCCATCAACTCCAGGCAACTCGCATATGAATGCAAAAGCTTTCCATTTGTTTTTAATTATCTTTCATTTCAACTCAGACAAAAATAAATGAAAAACTGAGCAAAAACACATTAACTTTAACTCAGTTCTAAGCTTTTTTTCAAATTGCCTGTATAATTTGAATCTTTGATCCATGATCATCATGAAAGAGATGCTGCATCTTTGAAGAGCACTAGTAATGATGAAGGTCAGTGCATTTTTATATCTCTTACAGACCTTCAATCAGATTAGCTATATTCTGCTGTTTGAATATTTAATCATTTTTTTCTAAAAAGATTTCTAATCTGAATGGTAGTTGTACTTTATTTTTAGTGGCATTTTGTTAGGTGCGTTCGATCTCTGTCTTATGAGGTTATACAAGCTAGTATTATTTTTGTGTGTGTTTACCCACAACAAAGCCATTACACTTTACTAAAACTTTACTATACTACAATATCTCACCTCTGGGTCAGAAGTTTGTGGGTTCAAGTCCCATGTCTGAACTTGGAACTCATATGGTCTGGGCTCGCACTCCGATATTGTGCTGGGGGTATGCTGTGTTGTTCGAGATGACGTCCGTCAGATGAGATGTTAAACCGAAACTCCAATTGCCTATTCAGGTAAACGTTAAAAATCCTCATGGCACCATTCAAAAAGAAGGGAGCTTCTCAAGTTGTTCTGGCCATCATTCTCCACCTCCCTCCCAATAAAATATTGGTATTCAATTCATGTTTGCAGGACATTGCTCTGTGCAATTTAGCTGTTTGCCCCCAAAACACAATTGTGCCACTTTATAGTAAAGTGAAATATGCTGTGAAATGCTTTGGGATGTACTCCTGATGTGAAAGGTGCTATACCAAGTATTTATGATACTAAAGGCCCAACCTATCCAGTCTATCCTGATGGGAGTAAATTACCAGCCCTGGTATCATTCCAGTAAATCTGTGCTATATTCTTTCCATCGCAGCAACAAAAGTGTATGTCAAAACCACGATGGTTAGCTGTCTGTGGGATTATTAATAAAACAAGTAAAATTTAAGGCATTTCATAATCCACTTGATGTAACAGTGTGTACTCTGTATTCTGTACAACATATTATCTACATTTAAAAATATGAATGCCCATGTTGCTTGGGAACTCTCTCCTCGCCGGCCTTCCCGGCACCTCCCTCCACAAGCTGCAGGTCATTCAGAACTCTGCAGCTCGTGTACTGTCCCGCACCAGGCTTCGGGACCACATCACTCCCACCCTCGCTCGCCTCCACTGGCTCCCCATCCCCCAGAGGATCGAATTCAAGATCCTCACCTACAAGGCCATTCACGGCCTCGCTCCCTCCTACCTCTCTGACCTACTATCCCCCTACCTACCTGCCCGTACCCTCCGTTCCTATGGCTCCGGTCTGCTCCACATCCCCTGCCCCAACCGCCCTACCATTGGTGGCCGGGCCTTCAGCCTCTCAGCCCCGAGGCTCTGGAACTCTATCCCCCAGTGCCTTCGCTGCCTCCTCCCTTTCCTCCTTCAAGGCCGGTCTCAAGACCTTTCTCTTTGACCGTGCCTTCAGCTCCTCTCTCGACTCTCCACCCCTTCCTCGCTCCCTCCCCTCACCCTGACCATTTCCCCCCTGCTCGGGTCCTGACCCAACTGTACAGTGCCTTGGGACGTCCTCCCGACGTAAAAGGCGCTCTATAAATGGAATCTTGTTGTTGTTGGGATGTAGTTTTCATTGCAAATACAGTACTTGTCCATGGTGTATTGAGTACACTTGTGGCCTCTACAACTTGCTTTTTTATAGTGCCCTTCACGCGGAGTAGGGACCCAGGACGCTTGGTTGTACTCTGTGACCTGTTTTCTTTTCATGAAAAAAATGTTGACAACTCTTGAGTCACGGGAGCTTTCCAGCACCTGCTGGTAGCAGCATATCCATTTCTTTTCTCCCCTGCTTCAAGGCTTACTGTCCACTGCCTCCTGTGTACAGCTTCTCAGGCTTTATCAGCCTTCATTGCAGATCTCTTCCAAGTTTGGAACCCTTAGTTTCTTAGCTTCCAGTGTCTTCCTTCATGCTTCTCAAAGGTGGGTGGAAAGGTAAACAATAGCATATTCCTAATCCCTAATTTATGTGACCCAACAGGAAAGACAATGAGCAACTCAAGAGGAAATAAGCAAATGGCTCATTTTGATCATCTTCACAACTAACAAACGAATTTTAAGTTTGTTCAGTACTTGCAGATTGACCCTTATCAAATCATCAAAACAGCTCAAAGCATTTCATGGGATTTACAGGAAAGTGTAGTGACTGTATTTGGCTGGATATTTAAGAACCACATAGGGAAGTCAGTGATAGCTTTGAAGGTGAAGGACAAGAATCTAGTCATTGTGTGTACTAAAGTAAATCAAATACAAAACGTTATAGCAACATGATGATTTTGAGATTTTAATACAATGAACAACCCTTTGCAATATTTGAAAAATTACTTGATTACTTTTTTAAACTCAGTTATTTACACAATACCATGAGATCATTAAATATCCCTAATTAATCATCCTTTGCTAAATTTACTACTATTGAACAACCGCTGAAGATGTGGGGCCTCACTTCTAACAACCCCCACCCCAGGCACGGTACTGACACTGGCTCAATATCTGTCAGTTCTAATTCAGTTCTGCAATAAACAGAAACATTTGCAAACGTCAGAGCAGTAAACTTGTTACAAGACAGGGAAATGTTTAAAATTCTTGATCATGTGTGATCATTCATGTACTATGGTCAGACAGTGAAGTTTCTAACATCATGTCACTTTCATTCATCTCCATTTCACTGAAGTGAGATGTTTCCTCTGGCTGAGTCCCAGGATCTGCTAATTTCCCTGTTTGAGGCGAGGTGTCCAATGCCATGATTCCACTTTCTTCCAGAGGTTGCCTTTCAAAATCATTATCAAACTCTCGCACATCCCACGATGGGTAAATCATTTTCCTGATCACTGGCGCTTTCAATGTTGACATGTCAAGTTCATAACATCCAAACTTCTCCTTTATCTCGGTTCCTGAAACACAGTGAATATTTCCCCTTAGAATTGCCCATCAACAGTTATGTTTTAAAAATTGTGCTATTTTGTTTCGATTGTGTCCAAAAGTTACTCTGGCTTCTAACATTTTAATGTCCAGTCAATGGGGTATAAAAAAGCATTTGCAAGGAAATCAGCAGGAAATTGTATTTCAGAACATCCTGAGTCTTGGGCAGGGAACCATTCATTCTGCAGGAACTCAGCTCTGACCTGAGATTTCAATGGATCCATACAGGAACCAGAGTAATCAAGTAATAGTGTTTGCTGCAAGAGATGTATTTTACATCCAAAGGTGCTTTCACTGACGTTCAGGCCCCATCTATTCTGCTGTTTTGCCAATTTGTTCTTTGATAACCTGATTTGTTTATTTTCCCACTAATCAAACAGCATATAAAACACACAGAAATAAAGCAATAACGTTAGATAATTTAATTTAACCTATGAGTGTCTAAAATCTAAAATGCATTTTCAGCCTGAACCAATTAATTTGTAACAGATTAATTTCTGGAGTGTATAATTATCCAGGATAATTTTATGTCTGTCCAGAAAACTGTAGAGGTGGAATCACTTAAAACATCTGCCAAGTGTTGGATATTCCTTTAAGAGTAAATTGACAATTAATAAAAAGGCCAATAATAAGGGAAGGAAGCACAAAAGGACACTGTGGTTTATAGTGGTGGATTATTGAGTTTGGATCAACAAATAAAGAAGATGCTGACACACCCTTGATTTGGATCGAGTTATATTACGCCAAGATCTGAAATGTCTCTTTTGCTGGAAAATTACAAAACATTTAAGGTTACTCACCAATATAAGCATCTGCATCCCCAATGTACATCTCTATGCAATGGCCAAGCATTGTAACTGAAAAGGTATCATCTCTCCTGAGACCAAGGGCCTAAACACAAGAAATAAAATAAAGATCAACATTATTCACAGAAACTAAAACTGTCAAATAAAGGGATAGCTCCAACTGTAATGTCTGTATAGCATTTGGTATATAGAAATCACAAACTTTTTCCAATGGTTATGCTATGAGCAAACACACTTCACTTATTTTTGTTCATGCAGAAACCCAGCACCGTGCTTATAGAATATCAAAGCAGACAGAGTTCTTAGTCTAAGGTAAGTTTTTCTCTGTCCGTCTGTCTATCTATCTATTGCAGCTCATTTAATTTCACTCAAAAGCCTTTGAAACGCAAATATAATGAAATTAAATGGGTCATACAAAAAAATCAGTTATACAGTAACTAATTGGCACAAATTAGGATGCATACAAGAAAGAATAATCAAAAGTCATACCGTGTGAAAATAGTTAATGGCACTCTCAAAATTACCCATTAGACTCAGTACATAACCTATAGCAGAGTATGTAGAGGCGTTCTGGGGAATCAGAACTAGAGCTTGGTGATGATAATCCAGTGCTTCCTCATACTTCCTGGAAGACAAATAACAGATTGTATCAAAAAGCTGATAAAAGAACCAAGAACAAACATTTCATTGTATAGGATGTTGCCACAGCTGGGAAGGCTTGGGGATCACAAAAGAGATGCGGATGTAAATATTCACAAACTTCTCGAAAACAGTCCCTCCCGTCTTTCCATTTCAGGTTCACCTAGTTTTGCAAATGAGTCTCATGAGAAATGCTAGACGAAAAAAAATCAAGGTCCATCTAGTTCGCCTTCCACCTTCCTGGCGGTTGCATGCACATATATCCAGCCTGACCTCAATCATTCTTCCTAGTACCTGTCTCAGGCTTATTATCTTTGGTTTACTCTTAATGCTTGATACATCAATTTACAGGTCAGCAAAACCTGAAACCAATTGTTAGATGACACAATCTGCATACTTAAGGTAGAAATGTCAGTGAAAAGAACTCAGCCCTTTCTTATACAAAGGAACCTCTGTTGATGTTCAACAAAGTGCTGGGGCTCAGATTACAGAAATGTCAAAAACATCTTAGCAAACGACTGATTACTAGTTGTACCAATACCCAGTTATTAATGAAACACACAAAAAATCCAAGCATGGAAAATTACTGAAGGCATCTAATCGTGTTTCTCTGTCCAATTAGACCAATTCTGATTTAGTTGAAGTGAGGTACTGCTGTACCAACATGTCCCTCACTGCTTAGTCATGGTGAAAATACTTCAAATGATAGAGAGAATTAGTAGAGTAATATCTGAACAAGTGGAGTCTGATAAAGGACTACTAGCACAAATCCAGGATAAACTGACTTGCTGAAGTTATTCAAGGTTATAACTGACAAAGATAAGGTAAAGTGTAGCAATTAGATTTTTAAAAGAGTGTGAAAAGGTTTCACCTGCTTATATAAGTAGTGGATATTTATGTTTGAGTACCATATTCTCAAGTGGATTCTGCATTTTTAGTACATTTATACTTACTTGAGTTTCCTACATACGTGTCCTAGGTTATTCATTAGTGGTTCCCATTTATCAACAGTTACCTGCAACAAAAGAAACAAAGCTCAAAAGGTCTCTCAGCAGCAAAAGGATAATCCCTTCACATTTAATACAACAGCAGAAAACAGATAGATCCAGTCTTTAGACACTCAGCACTTCTTTCAGGTCCAATTGTAATGTAAAATAACAGAAATGCTGGAAATTCATAGTGGTTCAAATGGCTTTGGGAAACATGATAATGCTGAACTGCTGAGTGGTCCCAGTGACTTCTGTTTTTGTTTTCAGATTTCCAGCATCTGCAGTATTTTTTTTAATGATAATGCTGATATCCAGGCTGGAAACTAAAGGGTTCCTAAGTGTGTGAAGATGTGCCTGAAGTCTACATTGGGTTTGGTTGGAGTGGTGTAGGAGGCCAAGAATAGAGAGGACAGCATATCATTTGAATAAAAATCGAAATAAATTAATATATTTAAATCTCATAGTCTAATAATCTGGTTAGTAATTATTTGCGAATGTATTCAAATTGAACAGGAATGGGTGGAGACTCATGTGGAGTATAAACACCAGTAGGGACTACTTGGGCTGAATGATCAGTTTCCATGCTATGCATTTAATATGTAAATCTATAAAAATTATCAAATGATATTTTGCTTCCCATCACATTAGCAAAAAATACACGGGCTGCAACTAACACAGAACACAGATTTACAGTGAACAGGATGTTAATTCAGATTGATAACCCATTATCTCTGAATAGGCATAAATTGCATGTGACTACTACAATTGATGTTGTTGACAAGCACTTGGAGGTGAAAAACAAAGACTGTGAAACAAGCCTGAACTCAACCATCTAAAAGAAAACTCAGCCTCCCAAAGAGTTCCAGTAATTAGGGCACAGGATCATACAAGCACACGATGAAACGATGTGCCTGACCTTTAATGCAACTTTGATGATCTCCTCAAGTGAACAGTTTGTTTTTTATTGTCCGTCTCTGGCTTAGTTTGTTCTGCATGGCTTAGCCACACAAAAGCACACGTAGACAACAGTCAAGTGTAAATAGTATTTCCATTAATTTATGTACACTCAATTTGATATTTTTCATTAATTTCTGAGTTTTTCAATGTGAGGGATGCCACTGCTGGGGAATTAAACACCTTGTTGCAGCAGTAAGCAATTCTAGATCAGGCACACCACAAGCTTACCGCATTTCCTCTACTCTGCTCCAATATCCTAAACTAACGTTGTAAAAGCATCACTTTTGGAATAGTAGAACATTTTTTAATGTCCCACATCAACTTTACTTGCAATCAATTACCAGCACTGTTCATTTTGTGAAATTGTGTGCTGAACTATCGCAGGGCATAATACTAAGTGAGTTGCACTCTGTGACACTGGACTGTCACTGGAAGAAGTAAAGGGCAGAATAAACCTTTTTATGTGGAGGGTTATAAGAACATGGAATGCTTTGCCACAATTACATTCAAAAGGGAACCGGACAATCATTCGAAGGGCAACAATGTACTGTAAAAGGATTATAGGAAAAGAACAAGGAATTGGGATGAGAGTAGTTTGCTGCAGGGCAGAATGGTCTTCTGGGCTGCAATTTCTATTATTCTGCATGGCTGAATGTCAATTCACAAACCAATAATTAGATTAAAATAATTTTTGCGAAGTGTTTTCATTAGTGATCTTATCATCCAGTGACCTTAATTGGAAACATACAATAATCAGAAGAGGGTTTCGTTCAAATACAACTCATGATGTACACTACAAAAGTGGAACAACTCACCTCATTTCCAATCGCTCTCACTTTTTCTAATGCATCCAGAAAATATTTCTCTGCTGTCTTCCAGCTGAAAGAGACAATTATTGAAAATGAACACATGAAAAAAATGAAGACAATAATAATGCATTTGAATGGTTTTGCAAGGCAACAACAGCTTTGTTTCTGGCAATATAGTGCTTTGGAGAAGGAAGCCGGCTCAATCCACATTTCTTGAACTGGGCCAAAAAATAAACAATTGTCTGATTTGCCATTCAACGTGTGTGTACCTTGGCACGTGTGCAAAAGGTTTAAGTGGTCATTTATTTCATTTTTGGGGTGTCAGCCAGGTGTCTGACATATGAGGAAACCATTCACCATACTTTAAAGAGTATCATATATTCATATTATTAAAGAGAAAATTTGCCTACAAGCTAGGCAAAAAATGCCCAAGATTCCTATTACAATCTTTCAAACTGCTACTGACAATACTGATGTAACTATAATACATTAAGCCAATGTTTTTTTCTCAGCACAATTCAGGTTTCAATTTGAAGGTATGAAAATCAATTACATTTTTCAGATGAGGGGATATTATAATTGTATAAAAGGTACATGTTAGGTAAAATATGACGGGAATAGGACTGAAATTCCTTATGGATCTCTCGGAGGTTGCGGGTGTGCTTAGTGATCAATGGAAAAAAATGTCTTACTCTGCATTTTGGAAGGCCACCACTCCCATCTCATGAAGTACAAAAGGGTCTTCTGGTGCAGTGCTCAAAGCTTGGCTGAAAAAACGTTCTGCCAGTTTAGAGTTATTTGTCAGACCGTATTCAAGTCCAATATACAACATTGGTAAATGGCACCTGGAGAGAAAGAATAAAATATTTTACATAAAAAAAACTTTGATTCTCCCAAAGATGAAGTACAGCTAAGTGTGGATTTTAATTTAACATCAGCATGTATGGTATAATAATAATAATCCTTGCTTTTGATATAGCACCTTATCACGTCAAGACATCTCAAAGTGCTTCACAGAATACACTGTAAAGTGTAGTGACTGTAATGACTCAACAACAACTTATTTATGTTACTGAGAGTAGTTCCAGTTACTGAGCCAGATGTGTCCCCAGTACTCCAAGGCACCACTGATAACAAACCAGCCAGCCGGCCTCTTTGGCAGGACTTGGATGGAGCAGGGATTCTTCCCACTGTTAACCTGCAAGCCAAAGCCCTAAAGGTAGACTGCTCCCAGCTGGATGAGCAGGGCATTACATTTATATTAGCAGGTTAAACAAGGTTAAAAATATATGGTTGCCTGCTAATCAAATGCCCTCAAAGATGAATCCAATTCATGACAAACAGCTTCTAGCTTCACAATGATTGAAATACTTTCAGAGCCAGCTCAATAATCATACCCAAATCTCTATCTATCTTTGCTAAAGGCAGCCATTCAATGAGTCTGCATTTCATTTTGCTTTTTTGAAAAGAAAATCTACTTAGGGAAACTTCATATGAAATAGGTTTAAATGTGTTCACTGAGAAAAGTTCCTAAAATAGACATTTAAAATGGTCATTTTCATCACTTAGTAATATTCTATTACACTGGATAAAACGATTTGCTCCGCCACACCATCCTATTCATCAAAGCCGTATTGATGAGCATGTAGAATACTTTCAGTGCTAAGCCAGAAAGCTCACAAGTTGCTGATCCTGCTTTAATGCCTAAAGATAAGCTAGCACACATTAATTGTGCTAAACACTGCTTTCCACATCAATGGACAAAGTCTGAGAAGCAGATAAAACATACAGTGCACAGAGTTCAAATTCAGAGCAATCTCAAGGACATTTTCCAAATTACGAACACTAGGCTTGGTTACCTTCCAAACAAACCAGTAATTTTATCCACACACATACACATTTTATTATATACTTATGTCCATGACAAAGCAGATTCATGGCAAAGCACAAAGGACCCAGATTTTTGGGAACAAGCCATGTCTCAAAAATGAGCAGCAACTAAAATGTTCTTTTTCTTATTACCTATTAAACATGGTTTCAACAACAGCTGGGAAACTCCAGACACAAGGGCAAACTTTCTGTCTTAGTTTATAAAGTTACAAACTTGTGAAATACCAGATTGGATGTGTTCCCCTAATATTCTTAGACCTACCCTTTGGCAGAGGGCATTTATAATAATAATAATCCTTGAATTTGATATAGCGCTTTTCACGTCTTCTAGACATCTCAAAGTGCTTCACAGAATATACTGTAAAGTGAATTGGCAGTATATTTGTGGGCGAAACATGGCAGCCAATTGCGCAAAGCAGTGTCCCACAAACAGTTGTGGATTGAAATAACCAATTTTATTATTATTTTTTCTCGAGGGATTATTATCAGGCATGTAGAAAGGAAAGTAAGGAAATTTGCCTACAGTTTCACCCTGCTGGGAATCCAACCCAGGTCTCTCGCTTGCAAGGCGTGTGCTCTAACCACTGAACTACAGGACTCCTTTAGGAAAACAAATAAGAGCATAACCACAACAAATTATATTTGTATAGAGACTTTCATGTTGGGAGGAAGTCCCAAAGCACTGGAGTCAAAGATTTGGATCCGAGAGGGGGTTGGGATCAGGGAGGGTGGAGGGCAGGGATAGGATGGCCAAAGGTGCGGTCAAAGAGGAGGGTCTTGAGATGTGCCTTGAAGGAGGCAAGAGCGGGAAAGAGGCGAAGGGAACATGGGATAGAGTTCCAAAGCGTGGGGGAAGAGGCTGAAGAACCGATTGCCGATGGTGGGCGGGAGAGGGACATGGAGCAGGCTGGAGCCCCCTGAGAGGAGGGAGCGAACACGTTGATATGGGGTTAGCAGGTCACAGAGGTAGGAATGAGCAAGGCCATGTAGGGCCTTGAAGGTGAGGATGAAATTTTGAACTCTATACTCTGGAGGATGGGGAGCCAGTGGAGCCGGGGTGGGGGTGATAGGGTCTGGTACGGGAGAGGACATGAGCTGTAGAGTTCTGGCTGATTAACATGAGATCATAAGTTTTACATTAGTTGGGTACTACTGTAGTAAAACACACAGGTGTGGAGCTGGGAGTGGTAAGAGACAAGGTATGCAAACACTCAGGAGTGTGTTAAATTTATGGACGAGCAGCACCTACCCTTTCATTAGTTGGGCCGCTGTGAAGTAAGCCGCCATGGCCTGGTCATGCTCTCCTTCCACCGCAAAAGAATGTCCATAAGCGATCCATGCAGGCCCATAGGTCCTCTCCAGAGTCGTGGCTTTACTGAAAAGTTACATTACCTCAGTTAGGAAAATGGAAGGTTGCTAACACAATTTCCTCTACTGGCTCTGATTGGAGGATTGTTGTATGAGAGATTGAAAAGACAAAAAAAATGGAAAGATAAATAATCACATTTTTTTCTCACTTTTGAGAAATCTAGTTTGCAAACAAATTTGTAAACAATGTCCAAAACAACAGGAGAGAGGGCTCCACAGCCGTCCTGTGAGCTGATGTGATGGGGATCCGATTTATTTTGTTCCTTTTAAGCCACAGCTATTCAATGTTATTATTGTTACACTCCAAGTGTCTCAAATGCCTTCAGCAACCGTTCAAAATAACAATGATCAATAACGGCGTGGGTCAATCAACCTTATAGTTTATTCTGTGAAGCGCTTTGAGACATCTTGAAGACGTGATAAGGAGCTATATCAAATGCTAGGAATATTATTATTATTATTCCTGATGGACAGAATCCAGCAAATATGTGCATGGACTCACTGGGTGCTTTACCTTTTGCCCAGCAGAGAGAAATCTTTGGAAAATTTCCTTATTTTGGCCACNAAAAAACGATATTATTATATAGATATTAAGGGCATTACTTTTACACAATGTACAACAACAATTATAAATATACTAGCTGTACCCATTGCAGCTACGCTTGCAACCGAAGGATCCAATATGGAATGTAGATTGGCACACAGACAGACATTTTGTCTTTATCTATATTCAGTTGGGAGGACTCCTGTGGGAGGACTCTGGTGGGAGGACTTGGCGCTTTAAAAATGAAATTTTGTTGTTGCTCGGCTTAGCTTTGTCTGTTCTTTATCTTGTTCCTACCGCTTGGTTATGTGCATGCTCTGTGACGCAGGATGCCAGTTATACCTGGTGGCCACGTCATTGTCTGCTAGCACAGCCACCAGGTATAACTGCATTGGTGTGTACATACGTACATGCTCTGGGATGCACGAGGCCCCAGCACCACGGTCAGCTGGCACGGCCACCAGGTATAACTGTAGTGCGTACATACATACGTAGGTGCTCTGTGACGCACAATGCCACAGCGTCACTGTTAGTATTGAAGATAATAATTTGACTCTACCCAGGTGAAAGGCACTCTATAAATATAAGTTATTGTTGTACAAGATTCCCATTTATTGAAAATCACAGGATGTTTTTCTGGGTTTTCAATCTGCTTATGGTTTTATTGTCTTAAGTTTGCAATTAAGTTTTATTATCTTCCTACCTGAGATATCTTCGAGCGTGTTCATTTTTGTGGCCAACCATGAGGTAATAACAGCCTACAGCAAACCAAGATACCTGCCCACAAATCAGAGGAAGCAGCACAAGGCAGATAAATGATTATGGGATCCAATGCACCAATTACCTTAACATGTGTAAACCCTGTGTACAGAAGATATTACAGGGCAGGCTTACTTAGTATAACAACCAACCAACCAACCAAAGTACAGGAATTCTGTAATGCTTTCCATTGGTTAATTACATGATTAAGACCATCTAAATAGTTCCCTCTATACATGTGGTTTACACATGATTAAGCGCTCTGAAACGCTACCCCACGTATGTTGTGACTCCCAATATTAAGGCGCCATGACTGAAAACATACAAAACAATGTTTACTTACAGGATTATTGGGGTACAAATCCACCAATTTGTGTGCGAGATAAAACAGTTCTGAAAATTGAAAACAAACAAACTAATTTAAGAAATTTTACTGGCTATAGGTTGAGATAGTTCTTAAACCCCTAATATGTATACCTACAGTATGGTTCACTTCCCCCCTTGCAGAGTGTACTGGGTGACCTGAGTTCAATCCTCACTAATGAATGCAAGTTCCTATAACTAGGTGTAACTTGACTAATTTGCTCTTTGATGACAACCGTGCTACCAATTGCTATTTAAATGAAAGCGAATCGGGAAGCTTCAGTCCTCAGTCTTTTATTCGAAACAGACTGTGACATAGGCTCAATCTGTTTGCCTGTTTCCTCCTTTTGATTTATACAGAAAGCTTGAGAAAGCATGGTTAAATAAACTCTACAGAATTTTATTGTAGCTTTGATGAAATCCACAACCCTCAGCATTAAATCTTAAACAACACAATAAATATCAACAACTGCAACTATGAAATAACAAACATTAATTATACTTAATCTACACACGCTAGCAGCCACTTGTATTGAAGTTAATGTGAAGCGCACAAAGAACCAACCTCTTGACTACTACTTGCCAATACCACAATACCATTTGTTATCAGGTATAAAAAAGTGACCCCAAGCACATGGCGCTCGTTCTTTTATGGGTATTGAGCTCCTCCCCAAATTAGGGTACCCAACGGTAATTGTATTGCACCAATTACTTGATGTAATTGGTGCCTTTTTTATGGCCCAATCAGATCCTCCCCTCGGGTGCCTAATAGGGGACAAGTTGCATATTTGAATGGTAAGTTACCCCACCAAATTGTTGCAATTGACGCCTTTGGAGATCTGATGGCAACATAAGTATCAAAAACAATATTAAATACATAAAAAATGTATTAAAGGGCTACTCAATATATTTATAACACTCATGTGCCGGTTCTACCGAACTTTGGCACTATCCCCGAGCGCAATCGGTAATTACTAACCACACTTACACTGGCTACTGCTTTTAGCGAACACATAAACTTGACAGAATATATTTTAAACAACAGACAGGCATAGAAAACAAAGGGCTGACTGTGACAAATCCCCCTCTAAATAATGAAAATGCTTCAAAAAAGCAAGTTTGTTATCAAAGTTCTTAGGAGATAGAAGGCCAGGATAAAAGCGCCTCTCTCTCTCCTTCGCTAAATGCTGGCTATCGTCCTGCTCGAGGTAGCTGATCTTTCTGTGTTACAGGTCTAGCTCCCTGGCTGGTCACTAGAAAGGAAGATCTCACACAGTAATGTGTTCTGTTCAAACTACATCATACTTATATATCTTAATTATGATAAAAATATACAACTGAGGAGAATCACAACCTTTTCCACCAACTCGCTGGGAATTCGTGCAACTCTTATACAAAACATTTTGCTGGTTAGCACTCCACAGTGCTAATGTTAGGATAAATTCATGAGTGCTCCGTGTTCCATCCTATTTTCACAAGGCGAACAGGGTTGAGTTGAATGCCACGCCCTCCCATGCTGTGGACTTTCTGCGAGTTTCTGTACTCGTTTCACTTAACAGTGATGTACTTTCCTCTTGATGTAAGTATCTTAGATAGTCTTTGGGTTAATGACCTTCACCGCCTTGCTCGATTTGTGAAACCGGTCATACAGTCACAGTAATCAGTAATCATGTAGTTTAAGCTTCATTGAAATCTTCCAGCTGTGTTGTACTGATGCTCGTCGGAATTTGTATGATTGGGGTGATCATGTACCTACCATAAACGGGTAAAACGGAGTCAACCCAGGTCTATCGCTGAGGGGTCAGTTATTCACCCCCATCAGAACCCAGGGAATCCTTTTGTGCCACCTGGAGCCTTTTGTGGGTGGTATGGTACATGTAGATTGTGCTTAATGCCTACATTTTGAGTGATCGATTTAATGATCTCAGCAACGAAATGATTGCCACTATCGGATTCTAATATTTTTGTTACAGCATTACAAGGAATCAGCTCCTCATTTATTATCTTCAACAGTTTTTGCAGTACACCTTTCGCAAGGGTATGCAATGATAAAACCGGATGTGTGATCCACAAAAACGGGGATGTACCGATTACCCTTTCACTTTTAGGTAAGGGTCCGACAAAGTCCTGTGGAGTCCTGTAGCTCAGTGGTTAGAGCACTCGCTTTGCAAGTGAGAGACCTGAGTTCAATTCCAGGCAGAGGGCGAAACCTTGGACAAGTTTCCTTATTCTACACGCCTAATAATAATCCCTCCAAAAAAGAAAAACAATAATAAATTGGTAATTTTCAATCCATGACTGTTTGTGGGACATTGCTGTGCGCAATTGGCTGCTGCGTTCGCCCACAAATATACAGTCAATTCACTTTACAGTGTGTTCTGTGAAGCGCTTTGGGACGTCCTCCCGACGTGAAAAGCGCTATATCAAATGCAAGGATTATTATGATTATTAAAGTCTAAATAGACCCTTTCCCATGGTCTTCCCATTTTAACACTTTCCAAATTTTTGTTTTTAGGTACGGTGTTCAGATTGAACTGGATACACCTCATGCACCCTCCCACGTGACTTTCTACCTCTCTCTTAACCTCGGGCCACCAGTATTCATGTAGGTTGACTCGGGTTCCCTTTATCCTGTTATGCAAACTTCCAGCTCTTTCATGGTGCCACGGTGATCAGATAATCCCTTACCCATTTTGGTGGGATCAATTGGTTCTTGCTTCCCTGTTGCCAGTACAGCTGTAAGCCCTTTACCACCAAACGTTTCCCCTTTGTCCAATTTGGAAGGCTTTCATTCTGTCCCGACTCCAGGTTTAGTATAGGGTCGTTAATATAACTACAGTTAATAACGCCCGTGACTGGTACTTGTGCTACTGGCATCGATTCATTTAAAAAAACAAGCTGAGCGTGCCAGCATATCAGCTCGATCATTGCTTGGTGTATGCAATGCATCTTTACCATGTACTAAAGTGTGCCAAACTTGTACAAGAGGTTAGTCCTTTATCTCTTTCCAAATTGACTGCCAAATTCCCTTGTGAAATAAGGGTTTTCTTTTGCGGTTAGTCCAATTTTCATTAGCCCAATTGATCAGGTCATTAGAAAATCCTTTGCATGCATAATCTGAAATGATTACTGCTTTGGTATCCAGTGGGAGGAGTTTTAACACCTCCAGCAGGGTAATGGCTTCAGCTGTTTGTGCTGACGTACCATTGCAGTGAATTGCACGATTACCTGATTCTTCCCACCCACTGCAATGCCAATTCCTGCCTGTCTCTTGAGATCTATTAATTGGGCAGACCCATCACAATAATTTACAGTCAGTCTCTCAACCAGTTCCCACGGCTCAGTTTATACTGGGGGCTTATCTCCGGTAGCAAGCACTCTATAATTCAAAATCCAACTCTTTAGTTTAGAATTCTATTTGCTTTTTTCCCTTGCGCTGATGGCTCCTCCCCCACTGCGTTTTTACTTCAATCCCATTTTTTAAACATTGGTGCCACCTACAGACCTATATATATACAATTTCAATGCAATGTACCATTAATGTAAATAACTGTGAACCGATATATAAATACCTTCTTTCCAGATCATGTTAAACATTATTAAAACTATTATCAAATAATGGAAAATGCACAAGATTAGTTGGAAGTAATTGGAAGTACAGTATTTATTTTGAAAATGTAAAAAAGAGCATACTATTATAAAAACAGAAGTCGCTGGGAACACACAGCAGGTCAGGCAGCATCTATGGAGGGAGGAAAGTGGATTAACGTTTCAGGTTAACGAAAGGTCATCGACCCGAAACGTTAACCCACTTTCCTCTCCATAGATGCTGCCTGAGTGCTCCTAACGACTTGTTTTTATTTCAGATTTCCAGCATCTGCAGTATTTTGCCTTCAGCCTATTATGTATGTTTGACACATTTTGCAATGAAACCTTCTCACCTTTAGCTTAAAAATGTGGTCGCTCCACACCACAGACCAAAGTTTTTTTTGCAAAAAGTGTGTTACCTGCAGCAGTTAAACCTCAGATCCATTAACAGTTCAATTCCTACCGTTAGCTTTGTTCAGTTCCACGAGTGTTCCAATGTGTACAGGAAGACAGACAGCATGGTACGGATCTTTGTTCATGACCCTACAAAACATACGGCACAGTACAATTTGAGATTGATACTGAAAATACATACTTTCAATGTAGAAAGTTAATGAATTATGAATGTACTTCAGGGTCTCTAATTAAGTTGAGTTGGGAGAACAGCAAGTTGAAACTTAGAACAGTTTTTTTTTGGGGGGGGGTCAGCTGGGTGTCTGACACATGCAGAAACCCTTCAACATGCTTAAGAGTATCCAAACCATTTCACCTACACAGAACAGGAGGCTTGAAGAAAGGGTGAGAGTAGAAAGAGTAACACTCAGTCAAATTCCCCTTCCTTCAATTGATCCAGATGGAATCTGTATGTATCCTGTAATTGTTCCACTAAAAGTCAATGCAAATTAAGAGAAGCAAGAAAACATTCAGCATTCAAATCAGATGAATTAAAAGGTTTGGGCTCTACTTTTATTTTTATGAATTTTTTAAACCAATATATAAACCCATTGTCATTTTTCTCCCACGGATATAATGCAGATCAAATTCAACATAATTTTGATCAAAAACAAATTGAATCACTAAATTAACCCCTTTGAACCTAGAAAAAAATAAGATGATGGCGTTTAGAAAACAGCATCACGACTGCGTGACCACCAGCAAAAGATTCAATGATATAAGTAGTGTTTTCTTCTATGTGGGACATACAGACAGACCAGCTCTGATGAGAACTGAGGGCCTTGTCAAAGTCTAGGTGCCATATATGGGATTCCCTGGAGAAAACATGGATTATATTACAGGCATTTTTGCCATCGATTAATCTAGGATTGCTGTCATGGATCTTTTTACATCTGCTGAACATGTAGCGAGGCCCTCAGTTTGTTTCCTCCTGTGTACACCCATCAATTTTTATTTGTGGCTGTGGCCTGTACTTACATCGAAGTGAGTTTGTAACACGTCTTAAAGTCACAGTTGTAGTAGTTTCTCTCTGCTACAGACACCACTACATCCAGGTTGTCCTGTAGACCATCCACTGACTCAGGAATTAATGTTTCACTGGGTTTATTATACTGCAAAAATAAAATCACAAAACAAGCTAAGAACTTTTTTGTCTGCATATTCACATTTAAGGATGTCTCTTGTGATTACAGTACCTGTATTACCAATCTAAAATGAGAGGTTTCTGTGAAAAATATATATTTCATAGGCGAATATATTACCATCATCATATTATCAAACATTTTAGCTACTACTGAAAGTAGTTGTGAAACTAGACAGATTTACCTTTTTCAATTTGTTTTCATATAGGAAATGCAGTAATTCACTTTCTTCATCTGTGCATTGCTTACTGAGAGGTAATGATTCGAGGAGCTCTTTTTCTGTAAAACAAAAGTTGACTTATTTTTAGTAAAAGCTTAAAGTAAACATATGCCAGACTGAGGAAAGAAACATTTGAAAGAATTGATGACTTTAATCTGTGGAGTGGATTGAACCGAACCAAGAGATATTTTTTTAAAATGGTATAGTCCTTATGAAAGACACTGAATTTATCACAATATAATTACATGCAAATATTTCTTCCATATTTCAATTTGTTTTGAGGTGATATTTAATTGGATTTCTTAATAGGTAATCCTGTTAGAATTCCATCCATCTACAGAAAACCCTATTTCAGCAATGCATCCAGTGCGAACCCAATGTACATTGTGTGTCATACATCTGGATTCTATGAGTCCCATCGGCACGACTTCTGTTAAGGAATATCATTACGAATTACTGCAAATTTCACCCCAATACGTGAGTCACTTCAGTTCACAAGCTGATATATGATGAGTGGAAATATATAAATAACCTACATTTTCAAAATGAGAAGTGTTTAAATACAAGTGCTGCAAAACCAATAATAAAAATAGTTGCTTTTACAAAGATTACAATGCTGCTTGAATACTTAGATTTTGGCTGTGAACTCTTCATTGCAATGCAGACTTAATAACTAAACTAATGACAGAAAACAACATTAACTACTGTATATGAACTATCAAATAAAGATGCAATAAAACACACAGATAGAAACAACAAAATTACATTTGTATAGCGCCTTTCACATTGGGAGGACGTCCCAAGGTGCTGGACAATTCAGTGTTTTGGACCTGAGTTGGAATCTGGGAGGGTGGAAGGCAGGGGGTTGAAGGGGCTGATCAAAGGCATGGTTGAAGAAGAGGGTCTTTTAACAGGTCTTGAAAGAGCAAGGGCGGTGTGGGTGAGGTGGAGGGATTGTGGGATGGAGTTCCAGAGGGTGGGGCTGAAGTGGCTGAAGGCCCGCCTGGCAATGGTGGGGAGGGTGAGGCTGGAGATATGAAGCAGGCTAGAGCCCGCTGAGCAGAGGGAGTGTGCAGGTTGGTGAGGGGTTAGGACGTTTCAGAGGTAGGGGGGAGCAAGGCCATGGAGGGCTTTTAAGGTGAAGACCAGGATCTTGAACTGTATCCTCTGTGTGATTGGAAGCCAGTGAATCCGGACAAGGATGGGGGTGATAAGGTCACGGAGCCTGGTGTGGGAGAGGACATGGGCTGCAGAGTTCTAGATGACCTGCAGCCTATAGAGGGAGGAGCTGGGGAGGCCGACAATCATGGAGTTTGCATAGTCAAGCCTAGATGTCATGAATGGGTGTATGAAGGTTTCGGTGGCCTGCAGTGTGAGACAGTGGCGGAGCCGGGAGATGTTGCGGAGATGGGGGAAGGCAGAGCGCGTCATGGCACGGATGTGGGGTAGAAAGAATAGTTGAGGGTGAAACAAGATGCCAAGGTTCTGGACTGGCTTAGCAAGGTGGAGTGTGCATCCTTGGATGATGATGTCATCAACCCCTGAGGTGTGGAGATGCTAACAGGAGGCAATCAGGAGAGCCTCAATCTTGTTGATGTTCAACTGAAGAAAGTTAGCTCTCATTCTGTCAGGGCAGCAGTGGTCCTGGAGTCAAGGGTGGGGACAGCGAGATCGAGTTGGGTGTCATCTGTGTACATGCAGAAGTTGACCCCATGTCTGCGGATGATGTCATCAAGAGGGAGCATATAGTTACTGAAGAGGAGGAAATCAAGGATAGAGCCCTGGGGAACGCCGCACAAGATGGTGCGGGGGCTAGAAGAAAAATAGTTTGGAATTGAAGTGGAGACAGTGTGAGAGGTTGGATCTGAACCATTCAAGCACAGAACCATGAAGGTTAAGGTGAGAGGAGAGGTGGTGGAGGATAGTGGTCAACATATCGAAGGCAGCAGAGAGGTCAAGGAGGATGAGGAGGCAGAATGAGCCCTGGTCGCAGATGGGACAAAATATCATTTGAAACGTTCTTTATAAGCTTCAAAATAACAGAAGTTCAGACCTTCCTGTGCTGTCAGCATGTGGTGTGACGTCAATAGGTCAAAAGCTTCAAAGCAACATACATCAAGCTTCAAAGCTTCTCTGTAGCTGTCAGTGGCCAGGGGTCGGTTGTCCATGGCATCATAGATCTTCCCTCGTAAAAGGCAAATGGAGCTCTTGATCTGGTGAAAAGCATTCCAGGTGGTTAAGAAGTGATCAATTTTAGTTCAACATTTATTTATCAGGTCCCATCTGCCTTGTGATTCAGGTAGATGTGAAGGGAGCTCTCCTATACTCCCTCGCCCACCACCATCACACGCTTTCCTGGGTTCACTCCTATCTGTCCCAGCGTTAACACTACATCTCCTCTGATAGCTACTGCTCCAGTCCACACATGTTTACATGTGGTTTCCATCAGGGTTTATTCAGCCACAACTTTCTCCTAATTTCATAAATCTTCCCATTTGCTCACTCTAACTCACAGAAACTGGACAGAACCGTAGCATTTTGTTCGGCCCTCAACTCTCCTTTTTGCCTTTCATCTGAGTCTGACCAAGTCTGCTTTCCTCTATGTCCACAAGATCGCCCGCCTTAACCACTACCTAATTTTATCCCCGGCCCATGAATCTGAAATCCTCATCCATACCTTTGTCACCTTCAGATTCAAACCTTCAGTTGCCCTGCTCACTCCTTCCCTGTCTGCTTTAAAAACTTGTCTAAAGACTCATTCTTTATTCTTTGGGTATGCGTCAGCTGCTCCCCCTCAACCCCTCCCCTCCAATCTCAGGCTCCTACTCCATCTTTGTAAAAACAAAATTCCTACATGAAAGCCACTATATAAGTACAATTTTTTTATTGTTCTCATCCACATTCATCACCAAAATTCTAACTAATCAATCATTCCTCCCATGGTTGTTTGGAGTATATTGCTACTTAAATTAACTGTTGATAGCCTGGAATAGGTTGACACAGCAATGTCGAGTTGGGGGAGTGCTACATTGTTGGAGGTGAATGTACTTCACATGAGACATCAAACCAAGGTCCTGTTTACCTGGTTAAGTAAACATTAAAGATCTTATGACATTCTTTGAAAAACGAAGCAAGTTTCTCCTAGTGACTTACAGCAAATGCACAAATTGCATTACAATACAGTATTCGCTATTACTAATTTTTCCATAAAGGCCTTTGAGACTTTCTTTTATGTGAAAGGTGTTTGATTTGATGTGAAATAATACATATTGATATATTAAACACAAGGATTATTATTAAATAAATACACTGCACATCAAATTGAACAAATTTCATATAAGGTAGTTTACAAACACTGTTTTAAATGAATCTGCTCAAGGCAATTTGAAGAAGACCTCAGGTTTCTAAATATTTTAAAAGTAAAATATTCAAACTAAGAGCCTCCCTGAGCAACATTAAAGTAGTGCATTAAATAATCCTAACTCACAAATTAAAACAATATGTGCTTTAGAAATTGGTTGCCGATTAACTGAGATCTGTTTCATTTCTCAATTTACAATAGTAAAAAATTATACATGAAACAAATTGTAAAACTTGTTTATGAAATGCGAGTATTAAATAGTTCCCAATTACAAATAGAAATGCAGCATTTCACCTTCCACATGCACATATTTCCCAATCATTGCAAGTAGTTTTATTTAAAACTTATTTTTAATGCTTCACTTTATTTTTGTCCTCTTGCCATTCTTTTCTCATCCCCATCTCATAAAAGCGTTTTTGACTCTTATTCTATTGGGAGTATGGTTAAGCAAGCAGCCATGTTTCTTGTTTGAGCGTTGACAGCAACTAACGACAGCGTTCTTGATCGTTGGGAAGAAGGGGAGGCAAAATAGCTTGCTGGAAGTTTTCCCTAAAGTGAAAGCTTGATAATTGTGTAATTATTTTCTTTAGTTCTATAATCAGGTAAATAATCCGCTAACTTCCACATAACCCTCCTTTCAACTCTTTAAAACATGGATCAGATCATCTCTCTCAACTAGTTTCAACCTACATTAGTGCTTGAATGCAGTTATAACTGCACATAAGTATTGTATGCAGTTATGAAAATCAAATAAGCAGTTATAGTTTGGTTTAAAAATATAAATTTGATTAAAATTTTATTTTAATAAATTTGTTTTACAATTTCTAAACATGGAATGCAATGACTTTCGGTTGTGGATATCAAATTTATCCAAACTAGTAGTTACCAACCTATTTCAGTACTTTTGTAATGTCTTAACATTAAAGCTTCAGCTTCACACCATCACATTCTCTGCTCTTCCAGTGCCACTAATCATGCAATAAACAAACATGGAAAGATTCCTGATGCTTGATAGCAAAGACAGCAAAAATGTTACTTTTCCCGCCCAACAGTGGTGGCTGTGATCAAGGTGCTGCACTGACCGAAGATGAAGACAAGCCCCAGTCGATGGATGATTCTTTCAGCTTGTTGTCATCTTTTGTGTTCTTTTCCAATATCTTCTTGTTGATTGGTTCATGCATATCAAGGATGTCAAGGGCTTGCTGATGCTCCTTAGCTGCATACTGTGCAACAGAAGACACTGTTGTATTTCAGGTTACAGGATGCCAATCTATCTTTTAATGATTGTGTCATGGCCAACTTTAACTCCACATAGTAATATACAGTCTCACAAGTATTGGCCCATACTCCCTCCTCCCCCCATAGCACATAAAGCACACACTTTTGAATGCATTTTTCTTTCTCTGCTTTCAGGTTTCCATTTCTTTTATTTTTTGTTCTGTGTTCTCCTAGTGATGGCATTCATTACATCTACCAGCATCATCTCTCCTGGTACTCAGGAGCCTCCAATTCTATGCATCAAGCTCCTGCGTTTAAGTTTCATTTTCTTTAAGAAAAAATATTTATTTGATTTTCCAAGTTGGAGATAGTCAACGGAATAGTAAGAGCTCTGCGCTGTAATGGGAACCACTTTGGAGCTACAGCAATTCTTACACAATTTTTAAGAACATTTTAGAGAATAATGAGCTGATATAATATCTTCTAGACCAATTAGAATACACTATTTCTTCAACAAGATATTAAATGTACAGTATGGTGATAACACTCACATGACATCTGGCAGCAAAATACCGGCAAGCTCCATATAACTGGGGAAACACAACAAAGGCAGCCATTTTATTTACCACATTTACCAGTACAGTAAAGCCAGGATACAAAATTTTTAAATATCTATTATTCATCTCAGGGGAAAAAAAAGTTGCCTAATGAAAATGCTGTAAATTCACATATAAAATTACAAGTCATTTTTAATTGTTGCAGAAGATAATGTTGAGGGGAGGGTGGCACTTTCAGTTTGCTTGTCGCCTTTGCTGCAAATATGTTGCTCCAAAAATATCACCCTTTGTGAAGATAAATCTCTTAGGAGGGATTGTTTTGTACTTTAGGAGTTGCTGCACACTCTGCCCAAGAAAAATAGACCTCCCCATACAAATATCTGTCCTGCTCAGAGCTCCGCTAACTGGCAGGCAAACCAAAGCATTGTACGATTTGAAGATTCTCAAGAACCACAACTGCTTCATAAAATATCTATTTTTCTAAATATCAAAAAATGTTAAGATTAACATACCTTATCTAGCTTCCGTGATCGGATAGCGTGGGCTGCTCTATGGTACTGGGCCGTAAGGTAAAGGCACTGCGATAGCCAGTAAATATCTTGAGGTTCCTCTGAAAGTATAAGAAGCAAATGGTGATTAAAAACATAAGGAGAATCCCCAAAGGGGTTGATATAGCGTGTCAGATCCTGGAGAAATTGCAACCTGAACTGATGGTGCCAAATAAGAGACTTGTGGAAACTTATGTGCAGTAAAGGGATGTGGCAGCATGGTTAAACAACTGATTAAAGCACAAGAAGTGGACTAGGGGAAAAGGAATGTTTTTTTCTGGAATGGCACAAAGTATATCCCAAGATATAAATAATATGGCCTTACACACAGGAGAAAGCTGTTTCAATTTGTTCATCCTACAGTATTAGGGACATGGCAAACTGTAAAGTAAAATACAAAAAAAAGGGCATTATAAATAGATTGGCAGATAAGGAATGAGAGCCTGAATACAAATAGGTAGATTGGAATAAGTGTCATTCCGCAAATGTTATTTTATTGGAAAATCCAAATTTGGAGAAAAAAAATTCCTTTGAAGAGCAAAGGACCTGTGTTTTGCCCTATGCTGGTCATCATGTGGCACAATGATAGATCAGTATCACTGATCAATTCATATTATTATTATTACCATCAACAGTGGCCATTGAAATGTTTGTTTTTGAAGGAAGTGTTTGCCAAATGTTTATTTTGACTGCTTCTTTCAAAACATTTTATTGCATCCTAGTTGTCAAGACTGGCTCACATGCCAGGGAATCAAGATTTTTTTAAACTTGATTTTATTTGTTTATGTGCCCAATATTTGTCTAAACTTTTCATTTGTTTGTAAATACTCTTTGTGAAGATTGTTTCTCTATAAGATAAAATGGGTTAGAATTTTCAGCTGGATTGCATTGCATTGGCAAAGCCATAAAAGCCTAAACACAAGTCAAAAAAATGAAAACCAGAGCGTAGCCTTGATGGTAGACAAACAAAATTAAAAACATCTTCTTCGTGAACACAGCAGCAACAACAATTTGTGTTTATATTGCACCCAATACGCGTGATAGCATCTTGAAGTACTACAGGAACCAGACACTAGCATCAGAAAGGCACACTCACCTGTTCCATGAAATGCATGAAGTTACACTGCTTTAAGGATTATGTTAAAAGGAACAAACTTTGCCTGTGTATACATTGGTGAAAAACTCCAGATTGAATCTTTCCGATTTTTTCTGCTGAACAATTTTCACTTTTGTGCTTATGATGTACATTAGCTGTTATTATTACTGTAAATCATTTAACTTTCCTTCAAAGTGTAGCAGTTTAAGGTAATTAGAGATAATTCACTTCTTTCCTTACAATATTTTAAAAGGATATCTATCACTGAAAATACCCTTTAAAAGAATAATTACTATGACAAAGTAGTGACAAAGTAGTCATCATCTTACCGTGCGATAGTGAAGCAACCTTGTCTGCCCAGAAGAGAGCACTCTGGTACTGTTGCTGTAAATGAAGCAGTAAACATATAATCATAAAACGTAAAAGCTCCTTCCAGGACTCAGATGGAAATGGTGACCACTGGCATATTAAATACAAATTTGTTATTTATTCCCAGAATAATTTTTTTTCCTGTGATTTCCCACAGACCGATTTCAGAAACTATGTTGGTAAATACGTTCCTTCTAGAATAGAGACAACCTTTCTTTTTAATGGTATTTGAGGAACATATTTGGTATCGAACGATAGCAAATTCTTGAAAATAATTGAGCTTCACAGGTGGAAATCAAGTTGAGCAACAACACTGGCAAAAAAAAAGATTTGCACCAATACATATGATGTTGCCAGGAATGCTACTTCTGATGTAGTGCGACTGTCATTCAGCAAAACGTGTTGCAGATATAAATAATGCAGGATTGGAGACAGGGAAAGAGAGTCAGAGAGAAGGCGCAAGATAGAGAATGTCGTTGACAGAGAAAACGAAAGTCAAATAAATATAGAAAGTTAGAGTCAAAAGAAAAAGAGCAGAGAAGAACTGTCAGTGTGGTCCTATAATTACTGATGGAAGAAGGTTTTGTTCAGAAATTTAGACAATTTGTATTTTGTGCAATGACCCTTTATGTTCACTGTTTCCACATACTTAATAAGGCCAGAACCAATTAGTGCAAATAGTCTATACTGCCAAAATCAGTTGAGTTCAGATCGTCAGAAGTCATGTTCAGGCGATATAATGTTCTGGTTAGGCTACTGTATACTGAGGAACACAAGATCAGCTAGGGATCTTCAGCATTGAAAACAGATAACTCACAGAGGTATATGTCATGCCAAGTGGAATTGAGGAAATAAACAACAACAACTTGCATTTATGTGGCACCCTTCACATGGGAAGCATCTCGGAGTGCTTATCAACACTGAGCTAGAAAGGTAACCAAAGGCAAGCTTGAAGAGGAAAGTCTTCAGGTGTGATTTGAAGACAGTGAAAGACAGGGCAAGACGGAGGGATTTAGGTAAGTAATTCAGAGATTCAGGCATAGTGACTGAAAGCATGGCCGTCAATTGTGGAGTGGAGGGGACAAGGGTCGTGCAGAAGACCCAAGCCAGCTGAGCGAAAGTGGCAGAGAGGAGTGGGGGTGTGAGCAGGAGAGAGAGGGAGATATCAGGGCTTAAGAGATTTGAGAGTGAAGATCCTGAAATGGATCTGTTCTGCAACAGGGAGCCAGTAAAGCCTGGCAAGAACTGGGTTGATGGGAGTGTGGAGCCTGGTACGGGTGAGGACACAGGCAGCAAAGTAAATCCCGATCAATACATTCAGATACACCAAATCAATAGAAAAGTGGATGCAGATTCAGGACTATGACGGGCAATTTCAGGATTGACACCAGGATTTATTCCTTTACACAAAGGGCGATTAACTGCCAAACCGTTTGTCAGGAAGGATGTTAGAGGGCAGGATGCTGGACTCATTTAAGAAACAGCTCGTTTCTGTTACTGGTGGGTGGTCGGGTGGGATGATTCTGGTATGACAAAGGTTTCTTTTCATCCCTACCACTGGTGATCTTGTGCTTTGCACCACAGCCATATAGATGCAGTTAGCGCTTATTAAGACAACCCAAGAACCTTTCGTGGCAATGCGCAAATCAATGTACACGCCGTGTATCCACCTGGCTCAGTGATAGCTCTCTTGCCTCTGAGTCAGAAGGTTCTGGGTTCAAGCCCCATGTCGGGACTTAAACTGACACTCCAGCGCAGTGGCGGGAGTGCTGTCCTTCCACAAGACTTTAATCCCTGGTCCCCTCCGCCTGTTCAGACAGATGTTAAATATCTCATTGGCACAAGTCGAAAAGAGAAGGGAGTTCGTGTCTGCGGGTGTCCTGACTCAGCCATCCCCACAAATAAAATGGGTCATTCATGTCATTGTTGTGTACCATCTAACAATGCAAACCCCACCCCACCCCCAGCATTGCACTGGGAGACAACCTGAAGTCGAGTCCCGCGGTGGCGGGGCGGGCGGGGCCCGGGCTCTTACTGTGCCGCCGCCGCCGCCGGTTATAACCAGTGGCTTTAATAACCTGACCGCCGGCCCAGGCCCCGGAGCCGCTCTCCCTGTCCCGGCCTCGGGGCTGAGGCGCCGCCGCCGCCGCCTCCTCCTCCTCACCTGGTCAATGTACTGCTTGACGCGTCTCCTCAGCCGCTCCAGGTCCAGGTTCATGGCTTCCTCGGGTTCACAGCGAGGCTCCCGCCACTGCCCGCCCGCCCGCCCGCCCGCCGACAAACAGCTCCCCCCGGAAACATCGGGCTCGGACAAACGGTCCTGGGCTGCAGGCAGCCAGGCAGCCAGGCGAGGGGGAGCCACAACACAGGGCACCGCCGCTGCTTCATGGGCTGTACTGTACATGTGCGGCACCGCAATCAGTTGAAGGCTTGATATTCCTTTATACAGTTTCTTTAAAATATTAATATTATTATTATTTATAATGGGTCAATCTGACACTTGTATTTTTCCTGCTAAGGTTAAGAAGCAGGAAGTGGTAGTGAGTGGGGGCCTGTCTCTGACATGTGAGAGTGGGTCGGAGGGCGAGTCCTTACATATAATAATAACATGTTTTTAAACCTGTTTAATTTTTGACAGTCAAAATCAATTCATTTTGTAAAACAAATTGGTTAATCGATACGCCTTGCGGCACCCAGTAAAGCCGGTATTGTAATGTAGATTTTCAACTTTTTAAAATAGTTTACTGTCGGTTGATTGGTATGAAATAACTAACTTTCTAGGCTGCATCTTCTTATGCTACACCCACTTATTCACTTCAAGGTCATTCAAGATACTGATGCTAATTGTTTTTAATAATAGAAAATCCTTGCATTTGATGTAATGCCTTTCATGGTGGGAGTGCTCCAAAGGATTGTAAGTGTAGTGATTGTATTTTGTAGGCAAATGTGGCAGCCAATTTGCACACAGCAATGTTCCACAAACAACCATGAAGTGAATGACCAATTTTACCAGGAGGATTGTTGATCAGGATACCAGGAGAAACCCCTTTCTCTTTAAAAATAATACCTGGGATCTTTAATGTCCATCTGAACAGGCAGATGGGACCTTGGATTAATGCCTCATCTGTAGCATGGAGGTACATAAACTATCAGGATTTTATTATATGATGCCTCTTACACTAAACCGATGATTAAACAACTTGCATTTAACATTTCAATTCTGTCAATTTAGATTCATTTAAACTTAAGTTGCTTAAGTGGTTATGAGATAATTATCCACAGAAATGTTGAAACATCTTTAAAAAAAACTCTGGTTTCTGGGGACCTTATCAGTTCTTTACATTTTCAGCACCCACTTTGTGAGGTTAAAAACCATTAATAAAAAAAATTCAGATATTGGGAATATTATTGTAATATTCACTGAAGCCCACAACTCCACCACTCGATTCCCTTGCTCCCCTCACTTCCTGAACCATCTCCTATTCACGAAAGTCACCATGGTACACCAGCCTCCTCCGCTCCCTTAAAGCCCAGATGCGTGCTGCTGAACACACCTGGCATAAATCAAACCTAATGGTCCATCGGCAGATCTAACTGGAACTTATCAAATGCTACCACTCCAACCTCGCCTCCACTAAATCGTTGTTTTCCAAGACAATGTTGGAGGCCATGGACAGCCCCAGGCTCCTCTTCTCCATCACCAACCGGCTCCTGCACCCACCCTCTGACACCTCGCCAATCCTCACCTCCAATTGAGAGGCGATGCTGGACTTCCTCAAATCCAAAGTCAAGGGGACCCACTCAGCTGCCTCTGCCATTCCGTCTACTACCACCTACCTATCTCTCCCTCTCACCCCGGCCCTTACCCATTCATCCCTCCCTTCACACCTTCAAACCTGTCTCCCACTCCTCTTTCACCAAAACTGTAACCCATATGAAACCGATCACCTGCTCCTTCGACCCATCCCTACCCCTCTCCTTACCTCCCAGCTCCATCTCCTTGCCCCTCTCCTCACAGACATCATAAACTTCTCCCTGTCCATTGGTACCATTCCCACCCCTTTAAAAATGGCTGCATTCACTCCTATTCTTAAAAAAACCCTCTTTGGACCCATTCCTGCTCACAAACTATCGCCCTATCTCCAACCTCCCTTTCCTCTCCAAGTCCTGGAACGTGTTGTTGCTTCCCAGCTTCGCTTCTTTCTTTCCCGCCATTCCCTTTGTGAACCCCTCCAATCAGGTTTCATTCTGCCCACAGCAAAGAAACAGCCCTGGTCAAAGTGATAAATGACATTCTGTCCATCTGCATCAGGGCTCTCTCTGCCTCCTCATCTTCCTTGACCTCTCTGCTACCTCCGACACCGTTGACCACTCTATCCTCATTCACTGCCTCTCCTCTCACCTCAACCTTCATGGTTCCGTTATTGAATGGTTCAGATTGTACCTCTCACTGCCTCCACTTCATCTCCACAAACAATTTCTCCTTTAGCCTCCATACTGTCTCGTGTGGCGTTCCTCAGAGCTCTGTCCTTGGTGACATCATCCACAGACATGGGGTCAACTTCCACACGTATGCGGATGACACCCAACTGTACCTCTCTGCCTCCACCCTTGACTCCAGGACCACTGCTGTCTTGACAGATTGTCTGTCGGACATCAAGTTCTGGATGAGAGCTAATTTTCTACAGTTGAACATCAACAAGGCCGAGGCCTTCCTGATTGGCTCCCATCAGTGCCTTCATACCTCAGGCACTGACAGCATCACCATCCATGGATACACACTCCACCTCACTGAGCCAGTCCAGAATCTTGGCATCTTGTTTGACCCTCAACTGTCCTTTCTACCCCACATCCGTGCCATGACCCACTCTGCCTTCCCCCACCTCCGCAACATCGCCCGGCTCCGCCACTATCTCACACCACAGGCCACCAAAATCTCATACATGCATTCAACAACAACAACTTGGATTTATATAGCACCCTCCATGCTGGACGGCATCTCAGAGCGCTTTACAGTAACGGATCCTGGGACCGAGCCAGGGGGAGGAAGGTGACCAAAGGCGCGGTTGAAAAGAAAGGTCTGCAGCAGAGACCCGAAAATGGTAAAGGAGGGAGCGAGATGAAGGGAGTGAGGAAGGCGGTTCCAGAGCCTCGGAGCATAGTGGCTGAAGGCACGGAGGACTCGGGGGACGAGGAGGAGGCCAGACCCGGAGGAACGAAGGCAATGGGTACTGTTCTGAGGAGAGAGGAGGTCAGAGAGGAAGGCGGATGCAGAGGAGTGTAGGGACTTGAATACAAGGGTGAGGATCGTGAAATCGATCCTCTCTGGGATAGGCAGCCAGTGCAGTCTGGCAAGGACTGGGGTGATCGGGGAGCTGAGTTTTGTGTGGGTGAGAATGCGGGCAGCAGAGTTTTGAATGATTTGGCTTTTATGGATGATAGTGGATGGGAGACCGGCAATAACATTCATAACATTGAGGCTTGACTATGCAAACTCCTTGCTTGTCGGCCTCCCCAACTCCTCCCTCCATAGGCTGCAGATCATCTGCTGCGCGTGTCCTCTCCCGCACCAGGCTCCATAACCCTATCACCCCCATCCTCACCCAACTCCACTGGCTTCCCATCACACAGAGGATACAGTTCAAGATCTTGGTCCTCACCTTCAAAGCCCTCCTTAGTCTTGCTACCCCTTATCTCTGCAACCTCCTAACCCCCTACCAACCGGCCCGCTCCCTCCGCTCAGCGGGCTCCAGCCTGCTTCATGTCCCCACCTCGCCTACCCCACCACTGGTGTGTGGGCCTTCTACCACTCTGCCCCCACCCTCTGGAAACTCCAGACCGCAGTTCCTTCGACTCTCCCCCTCCCTTGCCTCCTTCAAGACCCATGTCAAGACCCTCTTTTTCGACTTTGCTTTCACTCTGCTTTCCTCCCGCCCTACTCTTCCCAATCCCGACCAGCAGTTCGGATCCGAAACACTGATTGTCCTGGTGCCTTGGGAGGTCCTCCTGACATGAAAGGCTCTATACAAATGTAATTTTGTTGTTTCTATCTGTGCGTTTTAATTTAAATAGATAGACTTATCCTGGAGTCCTGTAGCTCAGTGGATATAGCACTCTACTCACAAGCGAGGGACAACTGTGTTCGATTCCCGATAGGGCGAAATGTTGGGCAAGTTTCCTTACTCCACAAGCTTCTGTTTACCTAGCAGTAAGTAGGAACCCGATTGTTATTTGATTGGTTGATCGCTTTTCTGGGGGTAATAATTCCTTCCAAAAAAAATAATAAATTGGTCACTCAATCCACAACTGTTTGTGGGACACTGCTGTGCGCAATTGGCTGCCACGTTTTGTCCACAAAATATGCAATTAATTCCCTCTGCCTCCTTGTCCTCTTCGACCTCTCTGCCGCCTTTGACACTGTCGACCACTCCATCCTCATACACCGCCTTTCCTCTTTACTTAATCTTTGTGGACCTACCCTTGCACGGATCGAATCCTATCTCTCTCACCTTCTCCACTTTGTTGCCTCTAACGGTTTCTCCTCCAGCCCCTGCACTGTCAGGTCTGGCATCCCCCAGGGCTCTGTCCTTGGCCCTCTCCTCCTTTAATATCTACATGCTCCCCCTTGGTGACATTATCCGCAGACATGGGGTCAACTTCCATATGTATGCGGATGACACCCATCTTTCTGCCTCCACCCTCAACTCCAGGACTCCTGCTGTCCTGACAGACTGCCTGTCGGACATCAAGTCCTGGATGAGGGCAAATTTCCTACAGTTGAATGTGCACAAGACTGAGGCCCTCCGGATTGGTTCGCGACAGCGTCTCAGCACCTCAGGCTCTGGCAACATCAACCTCCATGGTTGCACACTGCAATTCACCAAGCCAGTCAGGAACCTAGGTGTCTTGTTCGACCCTCAACTGACTTTTCTTCCCCACATCCAAGTCTTGAACTGCTCTGCCTTTCCTCACCTCCGTAACATCGCCCGACTCTGCCACTACCTCACCCCTCAGGCCACTGAAACTCTTGTTCATGCCTTCATCACCTCCAGGCTCGACTATGCAAATGCCCTGCTTGTTGGCCTTCCCAACTCCTCCCTCCAGAGGCTGCAGATAATGCAGAACTCTGCAGCCCTTGTCCTCTCCCGCACCAAACTCCGCGAACCCACCGCCCCCATTCTCGCCCAACTACATTGGCTCCCTATCCTTCAGAGGATCCAGTTCAAGATCCTGGTCCTCACATACAAATCTCTCCATGGCCT